CCATTAATAATATGAATCTTCCAAGTTTCAAATTTCAAGTTTTATATAATCAACATAGCATAATTATTTAACAGCTTTAAAGTTCTTAATATAATTACCACACATTCTAATTAAAACACATTTTTACCTTGCTAATAATATTTCTTTCTACTGGATCGTATCATTCTACTATTCTCCTATTTCTAAATTTTCTTTTCTTTTACTTTCTTTCCAAGTTTCTGATACTCCTTCCCTAGTTCCAATTCCCTGCTTCACTCCAAACTATAGTTTGTTTTACAGTTACTCTATGATGCAGTGCTGGGTTTCAAAGAAGTTTGGAACCTCTTCTGTAGGTGTGGCCTGCTTTCCGGGTCCACTGGTGGAACCTCTTCTAACCGGTTCGGTAGATTTGACGAACTCGGTTCTACCGAATAGGTGCGAACTGGTAGGAACCCACCTCTGCTCCAGCCCTCTCTTTGGCCGCTGCCTTCCCTTTCTCGAAGGGACGCAGCTGTGGAAGAAAAACTAAAGGGCCAGCGGAGAATCTGCCTCCAGCCTCTCTCACACAAAGCTATTCTGAGCTGGGTAGCCCAGCCTCCTTTTTTTCCCTGCTTGTTCTGTTCCGGAGTTTACCTGCTGTACCATTTGGGAGACACCCCCCCCCACTCCTGGCCCACCTGTTCGGGTGGACTTACTGCTCTCTGAAGAGTTGACCGTTTCTGGCCGAGACACCTCTGCCCTCCTGGCTCGCTCGCTCCTCTTCTGCTCCTGGAAGACACCAAGGAATCATCCCTGCAGCCACGGGGAGGGCAGGCCACCCCATGGAAGGCGACCCCCTCCCCAGCCCAAGTCAGCCCGTTCAAAGGCTCTGAACTGGGAAGGGTTTGGAAAGGCAGGCCTGGGGACTCCCAAGCTCTGATCTCAAACACAGCCAAGGCCTGAAGGAAGAGACCCACGCCCAGCTGGCCTTCCCCCACCTTACCCTTTCGACGGGGGCCTCGGCTCCCTTCGTACCAGCGCCTTCCACTGCAAGAGAAGACAAGAGAGACCCAATCATCCTCAAGGAGGACCTCACAGAGAACGATGCCTCACAGTCACAGGGACAAAGCCACACCCGGGGAGAGCCATGGGGGGCGAAGGAGGAGAGAGTCCCGCTTTTTCAAGAGACAACTGGACTTTGAAGAGGCTTCGCTTCTCACAGATGAGACACTCCAGTCGCCTCTCGAAGAAGCACTTTTGGGGCAACCACGGCCTGGATGGCCAAGAAACTCCATAGGCTGGGACAGATACCTTCAAACTTGGGAACTTTAAGACTTGTGGAGTTCAACTCCCAGAATACCCCAGCCAGCATAGCTCGGGAACTTTAAGACTTGTGGACTTCAACTCCCAGAATTCCCCCAGCCAGCATAGCTCGGGAACTTTAAGACTTGTGGACTTCAACTCCCAGAATTCCCCCAGCCAGCATAGCTCGGGAACTTTAAGACTTGTGGACTTCAACTCCCAGAATTCCCCCAGCCAGCTATGCTTCTGGAAATTGAAGTCCGCAAGTCTTAAAGTTGCCAAGTTTGGGGAGCCCCGGGCTGGGAGATCAGGGAGGGAGTTTTAGAAAGGGGCCCAGGATTCAGAGAAGGAAGCAGGAGGATCCCTGGATCTGCTCAGCAGAGCATAAAGGAAGCAGCACTGGCGCACCGCAAGGCGGCAGGGGAAGAGGCCATGGCAACCCTGGGAGAAGGCTGACCCACCTGCGAGGGATGGCGGGGCTCCCGCTTCTCGTCCTTTGGTGGCTTCGCTGGGCCCACTTTCTTTCGTGGCTGCACTCAGACTCCCCTCGGCCACTTCTGGAACAGGCGGCAAGGGGGGCACAGGCTCAGGGAGGCTGTTCGGAGGGGCCCCTTCCTCCTCCTTTGCATTAGCCGAAGCGTCCAGGGCGCTCTTCTTGGGGGGTTTCAACCGGGGCTTCTTCGCCAGCCGTGGGCTCGTTGTGGGGCTGCCGGACGAGGGGGCAGCTTCTTGCGAAGGGGGCACGCTGCTCACCTCGACCACCTCAGGGTCCTCCTCAGCGGAGCGGTTTGGAGCGCAGCTGGGCTGCTTGGTGTGGCTCTCCTGCCCTGTGCCTCCTTGGGACCCCCCCTCCTCCTCCTGCAAAGCTTCGGGACTCAGGCGCTGTTCGGTTCCCGGCACAGGGGGGGCTTCCGTCCCATTCTCTGGGTCCAGAGATCCACGTGCTCTGAAGAAGCCATTGGGGTCCTCAGACTTCTCTAGCCCCTCCTGGCCCCCTCCTTTGCTCAAGCTGCCCAGGAGGCCAGGCTTCTCCAGGCGCTCCAAAGTGCTGGCTTTACTCAGGGCCAAACTATTAGACTTGCTCACGGTGGACAGGTCAGCGGCTTTCCCCACGCCAAACTGTGGGCTACCGTCGGACGCTGCTTGCTTAGGCGCCTCCCACTCCATCTCTTGGGGCTGGGCCGTCGCTGCTTGTGGGATGGAGGCTGTTTGGGAGGCCAGCAGATCCTCTCCGAACTCCAGGCCCGCAGGGAGATCCCCAATTAGGGGCTTATTGTGCAGAGGCAGGGGCCCCAAAGAGGCAGGGAATTCGCTGGAATCCATCCAGAGCTGCCCACCAACTGAGAATCGGGAAAAGAAAGAAGTGAGTCCTTCTCCACTGGCCTGCAATTCATTTGTGGGCACAGTAGAAAGATTCCTCCAAGAAACCTATTTCATAGAGACTCCCCCCCCCCTCCTTCCTTAACAGATACCGAACCCCAATTGATCTGAAACAGCCTAATGAAAAGCAACAGATCCATGACCAAGAGGGCCACAGGCTGACTCATGCAGAGCGTTAACTTTGAAAAAAGCAAAAGCTGGAATCAACACGGAGCGTCAGTTGAGGGGGGAAAAAATGAAGACTATTTCGCGTTCATACCAGACGCTTAACTGAACTATTGTATTAACCCATTTTCTCAGGCTCCCAATGCACTGAACTGCGAACCCACCAGAACTTAAGCCAATGTGTTGCCCAAAATGCAGCTATTAGATCTTGGTTTAGGATACTGTAGGAATAAGCAGTAGAATTAGGCCCATGTTATAATACAAGAATACAATAGCAGAGTTGGAAGGGACCTTGAAGGTCTTCTAATCCAACCCCCTGCCTAGGCAGGAAACCCTATACCGTTTCAGACAAATGGCTAT